AGGTTTGTTTAAGCGAATAGATTTTAGTTGGGAAGAGTCAGAAAGACGGACAGAATTAAGAGCTACGAAGCAAATTCTGTTACATCGGTACCTGATTTTGTATTATCTTCCTACTGAAAATCTTTTGCAAATACCATCTACTCTACCGTAACTAGTTTTCACACTAGGAATCTAGATAATTTAAAGGAAGTGAAGTAACTCACCTGGTTGGTGTCTCAAAAGCTCCGATGTTCTCCATCTAGACACTTGCATTTAAATTCCCCATTATGAAGAGGAAGTTAATTTTCTATGTCTTTTTTTGAATAAAAAGACAAAATGAAAGCCTATTATCCATTCCGTCACTACACAGATAATAACAATCTCATAGGGCATACAAGAAAATATCAGAAGCACGCCAAAATCACTGATAAAACATAATTATGAGATGCATCGTTCTGACAAAAATGTGCAGTAATCTGTGTGAAGATTTCCAGGACAACCAACTAAACTCGAGAGAAAACAGTAAAGGAACTAATAACGGGAAGGATTTCCAACAAGACTTGAGGTGATGAAACCTCCGGCACGGCTACAACTAGAATACCAACCTACTAAAGAGGATGGTTACAAGAACTGAGTTATTCACTATCTAAGGGTAAAGAATTAAAATAAATGATCATAGAGAGTTATCAGGATAAAGTTCAACCAATCAGCGGCAACGTAGAACTCTGTACGTACGTATATCAGTTCAAGTTGCCGTACCACATTAGCACATAGATGAAATTGTCACTTCAAACCCACAAAAACACAGGAGACCAAATCAGGATACAGCTAGATAGTTGATTTTATCTAAGTGAAAATCTAATTTATTTTATAGCAGAACGAGTTGGTTTTTAAAGGGTAAATAACAGAAGCACAAGCGAAGGTAAATGTAAATCCCTAATTTTCATGCAGAAAAGAGAGCACGACGTACGCTGACCAACCATCATGTGTCAGGTAACAGGGGAACACTAAAATCTTGTCAGTGAGAACGTATGTGGCCAACATATTGTAGTGGTATACTTTTACGAAGATATCACAGTGGCTGATATATAAACATTTATTATCGTACTTAATTCTGAGAATAATTGTTATATTGTACACCTTTTGTTTTTCTGCACAAAAGACTCTCTCGCGCGCCAAGCGCGTTATTCCCTTTCCGTTTCTTCGCGCGTCTCCTGCCTGGAGGTTAGCCGCTCGTGTACCCTAGTCTCGTGATTACTTCGATACCACGAGGTTAGCAATAAATATACTTCTTCATCTAGAATAGTCTTTTCTCTAATTTCTATATTAACGGGATTAACACCTTGATACACCACTCTACTTACAAAAATGTAGGGTTCAGACAATTATATCAGCGCGTGATCTTGGTATTAGTTACTCTAAAAGCCTAAAATTCGAAGAACATGCCTCAAATATTATCTCTAAATCTAGACGACTAATTGGGTTTATAAACAAGAACTTCTTCACAAGTGAGGCTAAGCTTACTCTCTTCAAAATCTGTATAAGGCCCACACTTGAATATTGTTCACTCATATTTTCAAACATGAATATCATGGACAAAATGCGAGTAGAAAATGTACAAAAAAGCTTCACTCGGCGACTGCTCGGATTGAGCCATAACCTCGACTACACAGAAAGATTCAAGCATCTTTCCCTAGAACCTCTATGGCGCCGTCGTCTCAAAAACAACCTAATGCTCCTCTATAAACTAATAAATGTCTTTCGTTCGTAAAATACCGCCCAAATATGAACCACGACACTGCTTACAGACTTAGAAACAACGCATATACACTATTAACAGAAAAACACAAAAAATCATTGCGTTGTAATTTCTTTATAATACGATATCGTCTATTGTGGAACAGGTTACTAATTACTGTTCGTATTTGTGACACAATTACTAAGTTCAAGAAACTAGTAGTGCTGTTGTTAGACTCTAAAGAGATTTAACGACTATTCCCGGAACTCACATCAAGGCCTGCTATATAGCCATTTATTCCGTTATGACTGATTAGATCATTACGCTTAACCGAGCAGACTGATGTTTTACTGGTGACTGAGTCGAAATTGACTATGTTCACCACTAAATACTAATTACTAATTACTACACTGTCACCTTAATAAAAACGGATATGTGGTAAGGAATTTATTTGAAGGAGAAAGTGGTCAGCATAGGGATCAACATGTAAACTTATAATGACGGCAACGCAAAACGGAAAGTTGCACGTGTTTTTAGTGCAGTTTACGCAAGGAGTACAATAAAAACAACTATTGTTATAGTTATGTACAATAATAAATGTTTCCTTTTCACCAGTTGAGTTTTCTTCGTATATGTATTCCACTTCATTGCCATGAGAATATATGTTTTGGACCATCATTCAGTTATGTATGTCTTTTGATAATACAGCTGTTGCAGTGACAAGTAATTTGGTTCTTGATGTCATCGTGAGACAGATAATTTTTGTTTGCTCGTAACATTACCAATTTTGTTATGAGATTACTGCAAACTTAGGTCACTAAGGAATATTTGCTCCAGGCCCTTAACAGCTAAAGAGTGGACAAGACATTCTTGATAGAGTGCAAGAGAATCTTAAGGAACCCGCTTTTTGTAGCCCTGGTCAGAAGTGATGTCCAATTCGTGCGACGGAAGTAGAGGAAATCGTAACTATCTAGAAAATCTTGTTGGAGCTAGAGCTACAGCTGGAAAATATCAGACTTATTACATATTTTCACTACAGGTCCGGGATGTTAGCTAAAAAACCTTTAGGTTAACTTGCAGTGTAGGATCGAACTTATGTGCACAAATAGCGATATATTCGTCATCTTCTACAAAGGGATAGTCATATTCGTGTTGTTTCCTGTCACAAGTTTGAGGAACTAAGATACTTGTTCAAATTATTCAAATGTTAGTGGACTAACCAGAATAAGTATCTCTTAACAGGCTTCCATATCTAGTTGCAATGGATCACCAATACCCGCGTAGGATCCAAACTGAGGTGTGGACTGAGGAATAACTCTCAAGGAACTTTAGACACACGTCTTGCCCAGTTGAAATCCGTAACAAGTGATCTGGGTAATCAACGCTTCTAATATTCTTCATAAATATAATTATACATCTTTGCCTAAACAATATTATCGACTCGTTATTCATTCAATGATTTTTCAATTGATCAATCAGTAATACAATAAAAGTTATTCAATCCCTACTGGATAGATCAGATTCTTTCGGCAGATAATAATTGGTTGCTATATAGCACAGTGTCTCCAATTCTGGAAGAGTGCTCCAATTCACAATAAAAATGCACAATTCCAGTCATTGCAAGAAATCGAAGCAAAAGAGGAACAAATCAATATGGCTGTCGCCATAATACAGTGTCAGCTTCAACAGTTCAGAAACAAAAGTAGAAACTCAGTAAAGGCACAAAATATAGAAACTATAACAGAATAAAAATATTATCATCTCAAAAATGGAATCGAAAAGATTAACAAAATGTAGAACTGAAGGAGTTTTATTGATGACCTAGTCAAGACTGACTTTGATCACTACTAAATGTTCCATACTATCCCGTCAAAAATCATCAAAATAAATTCAGGGTTCAATATTTATTGAAGGAGAAAGTAGGCATTACATAGAGAGCAGCAAGTTATGAAAGATGGCAGCAACGCGAAAAAGAACGTTGCGCGCAAGTAAGTGTTGTTGGTGCAGTTAAACAAAACGAGTACAATAATAAATGTTTATTTTTCACCAATAGCGTTTTCTTCGTAGAAGTGTTCCACTATAGAATCAATAAGGACATATTGCAAATGCATACATGGAGGGATTTTCACAAACAAAGCCTTCAAAATGGATCTTACAATCCGCATGTAGAAACTTAGGTATATTTGGTCAGCATACAAGAAATATTAGAAAAGTACAATAAAATACCTTTCTGAGTCCTTAAAAATGTGTCAAGTTTCTTCTCTGAGAATTGTTGGGTAGTCTCCTGGTCCAGAATTTGACCACTCGTTAAAAGTAGGTGTGCCCACCGTTAATCCCACCATGTTGTGCTGCTAATTTCTTGTTGTTGCTACCGAGGTTTGTATTAGGACTAAGCAAATCTAAATAACTTAAGGGTTGTTCAGGAGTGTCCAAGATGTTACAAGTTACTAGGTCTCATGTAATAGGCTCATACTCTATCAGGTAAAGATGCAGGTGCTCTTCAGAAGGTCTGTACTTGATTTTGTGGTTCACTTTGGGATAGTTCCAGTGCATGCATATCTTTTTGGGGTGAAGAGCTGGACACCATACTTTGATATTCTAAATGAAGGCAAATAAAGCTGTTATGGAGTAAGTGAAAAGTTTTACCATAAAACTGGTCCAAAATGTGCTTCAACGTCACAAGTGTAAGGTTTGTTCGGAAGACATTTTTGCCAATTGATGTAAGGCTTTAGATACCAAGAGTCCAGATATTTTTCAACTCTGCGCACTTTCAGAGGGGATTTATTTCAGTTCCGTACATAGTCTGCAACATCTCTCAAACTACTAGTGTTGAAAATAGTTTTGATAATATCCTCCCCACTTAAAAGTCATCAAATACTCTTGAAATGCAAGTTTAACTTTTAGATCTGAAATTCCTCGTCAAATTTTAATATTGTCAATGAAAAACGATAGCTCTGATGATGTTTTCTAAGGAAGGTCATTTATATTTGAAGAAGTGGTCTTAATACTGAATCCTGGGCGAATGGTTAGTAGAGTGATAGCTATTCCATTTAATAACCAGCTCGATCAGAAACGCTGATTCTCGTGGAGTCTGATGCTTTGTTTATTGGGGAAAGTTAATGGGACAGAAATCTTCCAGGATAAATTTTCCTTTAATTTTTAAACAATTATTCAGCAGATAGATAATTTGGATCAAAATAATGTATTTATGTAGGAAAATTTAATGAACTTATTGTAAAGATGAAATGATTTGGAATATCTTTATAAATTGTATCAAGTTATTTTACTAAACACAGCGGTGGTTTGGTTGTCTGATCAACACGGTACTTTTTCGAGGGGTTTTCAATTTTTAGGATGGTTCAGTTGGAGGTCTGCATACCGGTAGAAGTAGAAGGCAAATATGGAGAGTATTATCCCGTACGTTTTGCTTCTGTTGTTTATTTCGTTTCAGGGTGTTATTAATGGATTGAAATCACTAGAAGAACTTAGTGTAACACTGTTAGATCCTTCCCTCTCGAAAGCCATTGTGGAATTTACTCTTCCTCCTTCCTCATTGCGCCTCCCCCCAAAGGATCCGGGGACAGTCCTAGAACCAGTTCAAGGACAAGAAGTTGATGTGCTGATTAGCTCGTTTTCAGGTGAACCATCTGTAGATCATGAGCCATCAGGTGATGTAATTGCTTCCAAACTTTCTGCCTGGTGGCCTGCTGTAGTAAGAAAGATTGGTGGGAGTTTTGTCATTGTGGAGTTGATGGCTGACTTCTCTGCTGAAAATTCTAGTTCAAAAGAAGTAACTGTCCTTCCCAACAAACGCATCAGTGTCCCTCATCCATCATCACTGGAAAAAACAGATATTGTTGAAAAGCACCAGTTAAGGCCACGAACTCATCATCCCAATCTTAGTGTCTCGTCCTTCCACATGCATGCTATTGATATACCAGACGAATTAGCACCATAGTAAGTATAGTTTCTGTTTCGTGCTTCGTATTTTTATGGTTTTGGTTATTACTATCTCGGTTTTTCCTCAGCTGTAGAGAGCCTGCCAATTACCACCACTTTGCGCGAAGATGCGGTTTGCCGGTCTTAATCACTTTGGCACCGGATACACTCAAACCGGTCTCCCCAGTTATGAAGGGAGACAGTGAAACATACAATCTAAAATCCCGTTTGCTTGTGATATCAACGGATATCTCAACAATCAACAGAGCATCAGTCATCGACAACACGTTCGTTGATATGTTGCGACAAAAAGTGTCCATTTTGCAACAAACTGAAGAACTATCTAAAAAGTTGGTTGCGTCGCGTCTTAATCAGGTATGTTCATTTCTTTCTCATAGTCTTAGCAATCACCATTCGTTGAAGAATTTTCCATACCTCTGGATTTAATACACTATGCAATTGGAGCCCAAGGATCAAATATTAGACGCGCCAGTGCAATTGAAGGCATACTATCAGTAAAGTTGGATCGTCAAACAGGCAATATTAGGATTTCTGGGAAGGTTAGTGCTTTATGTTTGTATTTTTAATTAGATTGACATGTTCTACATAAATAAATAGCATTAGCTAAAAGGCCTAACTACAAGCACAGAGCTGCCGCAAATAACTAATTAGATCTGATAGCAGTCTTGATTCAGTTTGTCAACTTGTTATTCTACTTTTGCGGTGCAAAAGTAATTGATCGTATCATAAACTAGATACCTGGTTTCTTTTTGCAGTTTATTTATATCCATTCCCACCTCAGAGCAATCAGGTGTAGGGTACTAGGTCCGGTATGTGTATTCATACTTTGCGCGTAGCTTTTATTCCAATGTAATGATGGTCTCATGGGCTTTTAAGTGTTTATGTGCATATCAACACAATGCATTGTACACCTTATCGGTCACTGAAACTAGTCAGCTAGTCAGTTACAACGTAGAACTGCGAACGTACATAAGTTCAGGTTGCCGCAATTGTCAGTTTAAATCCCATAGTGGTAGCGATACTAGAAGTATTAGCGTTAATGGAGAAGATTTGGATGCAAAGAGAATATTCAGGTAGTATAATTTTACTTAGGCCTGTTACCCCCATTAGAGCACATGCCGACGACCAGTATTCTCCAACCTACTATCCTAAAATAAACTTAGAAAGAGAACGATCTAGGTGGTGAGGAATCCAGAAGATTAGAATTCGAGAGAAACCAAAGAGTGGATGCACCTGCGCAATTGCAAACGATTTTGGGCCATATCATTCAATCTCTTACCATCGGTTACTATTGTCTCGCGGGCCCCAACCAAGTTAGCCTGTATCTACCAACATGACTCAGTTCACTTGTCAGTGACTTCATGGATTTTTGCCATGTTTTGGTCTGGTCACCCTTAGCTTTCTTCCAACCTATTCCTACATCACAAAACAGCTCATCGAGGCAGTCAGTGGTTGGGCATACGTAAAGCGTGTCAGTCACCTCAGCTGAGTTAAACACCTTACTGCTGGCATAATTTCTACAGTCTGCATTACGACTTCGCTCTCTACCTTGAGTTACTGATTTTAGTCTTACCGTCCCACAATCAACCTACCTGGCATGGTAGAATCTACAGGAACATATATTCTAGCCAATATAGCTCGGTTGGGTCATCACGATAGGCAAGACCGACCATCACATCAAGGTAGCAGCTACGTCGGAGTGAAATCATGTCCAAACTACTAGTTGGTAATAAAGCTGTTTATCATTTTTGTTAATCCCTGTTATTTGTAGGGGTTGTATTTAAGTAATAAGATTCTAAATAGCCTCCTACTATTTCATTTTACGAAAAATCGTTCAGTCAATGATGTAACTTGGATCTAACTTTCCAAAGTCCTGCCACTATTTCATGCCAGCTATGATTAACGTAGTATCTATTACGAACAGATCTACCCGAATCGGTACACTTCGTCATGATAAAAAAGGGTAATAAGGGTATCCGTGATAGCCAGGATGTAGTTGTATTTACTCCGTCACAACCAATGTCAATTTTTTTCCTCAAGGCCTTCAAACGTTAATCATTATTACGTGGTGGATCAAATCCAACAGTATGCGAATTTGTACACGGTTTAGTTTAACTTTCAATATCCCTATAAGTTAATAATGTGTCTTGGTCTACAGCATAGTTAAATGGTCTTTTTATTTTCCAGTTCTATGAGCAGGATGATTTCATTGTTAAGCGTGTGTCATCGCTCTGGATATTGGCACCTCTTTTATTTACAAGTGATGTTTCTGGTTAATTTCTGAGCATTTAGTCTCTTTTAGTAAGATCTATCATGGCCACGCGCATATATAGCCATTACTACGGAGGTCTTACTGATTGCCTTCTCTCAACAAGGGTGTTTACGAAATTGAGAGAACAAAAGGTGGACGTCCAACGGGGCTTAAACCGGGATAATGGGTTTGAAAGATCCACCTACGGGAGTCGGAAAACTGATTCCAAACCAATGGTGCACATAGGCTCCAGTGTCCTAAGGGAACATAAAGTTTCTGAACGTATTGTTGGTGGCAGGCTTGCTTGGAATTGCATATCCTGCCGTTGATTCATTACCTTATCTGTAGGTCAAAGGCTTGAGAAGTCGCCTAAGAAAACCATCTTGAGTTTGGTCACTTGGGCGGTATCCCAGCTCATACACAAATTTATTACTTTGTGTGGCTTATAAATATTTAGAGACCCCTTTGTACCAATGTGTTTAAAACCAATAAAAATCTAGTTGCGCATAGTAAAAATAATCGGTTATTTATTGCATTGCCCTTTGATACCGATTTATGTTTCAATAAATACATCTCCAATTTACAGACATTGCACCGTCCACTAAATTTTTCAATAACCTGCAATATAATAACATCCGAATCCTCCATGTTAACAGATAAAACGAGAGTCAGATAGTGGTGATTTGTTATAAACGTTAACCACTTGATACTCATTCTGTAACAAAGACAATAAATGTGATATTATTTGGATTTCATCCATTTAAGCAATATATGGATCAACTATCATTAAATTCCTGGATGAATAATAATTTATATTAAGCCGATTGCTATTAAAAAAATCACAGTAAAGAGTAAGTCGGCAATAAGACAAATTATAACAATAATCTTCGTAAAATATATTCACTGCAGGTATTGTAACAAACTGAGTGTTCAGAAATTCCTCCAGCGATTTATATCTTGTACTAAAGCCCCTGAGAGAACAGCCACGGAATTAGACATTACGTTTTAGATTAAGTAAGCTATTAAATAGTGTCATGAATATACAGTGATTGAAGTGTTTTAGTCATGTGATAGATAATGACGGGTCATCACCGACTGTAATACATGATTTTTATCAGACTGAAATAAGGTCAAGGGTGTCAATTTATCATTTCCCCTTCAAACATGCTCACTACAAATGGCGAATCTCCGTTGTTACGTCTTTAAGCTGTTCTTACTTTAGTAAAGCCAAATGTATATCGTCGTGTCAATAAGCACCCATTGTTCTTCAAAGATTTAATAGCTTTCTGTGATCTCAAGTCGCATACTAGTACTTCTGTTATCATTTTTATGCCACTATCTCTACCACTGTGGGATTTGAACTGACAATTTCGTCTCTGTGCTAATGTGGTATGGCAACCCTAACTTATATACGTACGTACGAAGTTCTACGTTGTAACTGACTGATTGACCACATCCGTAAGAAGCCATTCAGTTAAACTGAATGTAATTCAAATCGGAATACTCTTTCCACCGTAAGTGTTTGAAAGTTGGTACGGATAAATTACATCGATCAAGTTCGAACGAGTACGTCTTACACTGCAGACAAAACCCTTTTCACTTACTTCGGTTTTGACACTAACACCAGAGCTTCTGACTTGAAGCCAGGTAAATAGATTTGAATTTGATTATTGAATTGCATTACTAACATTAATATGTAATGTTGTTTGAGGACTAGTATAGTCTTGTTTAGCTTCCCTGTATGACGTTGAGCAAAATGTTCTATAGTCGGTGCAGTAAGTTGTGTGTTATATGAGAACACTGAATTTCTGTCATTAAATAAAGTATAACCGTCTTTTTATCACAACCTAGGTCTTAACGTACTGTTTGTTTTGTGGACATCTGAGTTAAATTTTAATGACTTTTTCATAGTAAATCAGCGTTAACTATTTCTCCATTTAATATTTTTATGGTTTTCTTAAACAAAGCCTAATAAAATACGGTATCTGTTCATTACAGACGCAGGATGCTGTTAGAAACGCTAAAAAGTTATTAGACTTCTCTCAAGACGTCTTTCAGATACCTAAATCGTATGTAGGTCCTATTTTGGGATCAGGTCGTCGACACGTTCAGCATATCGTAGACCGGGTGGGACTTGTTGGAATCAAGATTTCTAAATCGCCTGAAGACGATCAGGAGCATGTTTCATTCCAGTTAACTGGAACTCAGCAAGCCATACGTGATACACAGTTGTTTTTGGAATTTCAAGTTGCAAGCTTACAGGAGTTAGATCGACTTCGTGGTGTTGAGAATCCACCATCCATACTAAAGCCCAAAGAAGGGATCATTCCACCTGAAGACATTTCGAGGTAACTTTTTTATTTCTCACCAAACATAATATTCTAATAGCATCTCTAGATACAGAATAGAACACCGAGCTTTTTACCTTGTGTAGCTTATGAATTTTTATCTAAAAGTGGCTTGACTCTTCGTATTTTATAGGAACTAAGCTGTCCTGACTGTTCACATTCAAGGATTTTTCTCGTTGCGCTACTTGGTTCAAATCAGCATCTATTAGCTTTTCTCATATTAAACTAAGTATTTTTACCATTATCGTGATCTGTACATTTAGTGATTTTTTTTGTACTACTTCAGTAATGAATCGTTATCCATTGAATTCAATACTTCACAATGTCTCCCCTAAAACCGGTGAGAGACGTACGTTTTCCCTCACAAGCATACCGAGATGTAGTCGGGCGAATTTCCATGTCTTCAATTAATTTTGTGCAAATAAGCAAGCATTTCCAAAATGCTTTTATTCTGTACTCCAAAAATGATTATTATTGGTTACCCATTCACAAACAATATTATGATCTGATTACAAATGTTAATCAGCTTAACGTGTTTCACCACATCGACGAAACTATATTTTAGCTAATAATCACCACTAGAACTCACACGATTACCCAAGCATGCAAGCTTTTTGACATTTTCAAGCGGAAATCTTGAACTGTTGATTATTTGTCTAGTCAAAGACGAAATATCAATGTTGAATATGGTTTCCAAATCATCGTTCTGAAGATAGATGAAAATCAAGACTAAGTACTAAAGATTAGGAGAAGCGTAAGATAAAAAAAACCATATATTTTGAAAATAATAATTACAGAATCTATGCCAGTTTACAAGCATGATCAGCTTTATATAGATAGCAACGCAGAGTACAAATATATGATATTAGATTGCTTGAAGTGTTCTAGTTCAAGGTCTAGGTAATACATTTTCTACATATATATTACAGCAATTCAATTCATTAGTTGGATGTTGATGTATGAACGGTGTATTCAGGGTCATTTCTAGTGCTATAGCGGATTGGTTCTAATCACCTACAACTAGATAAATTAAGATGGAAACAAAGAGCATGGGACAACAAAAACAATAATTACTACGATAGGTCAGTAAGGTCTACTATAATACCTCTGCCAGGTTATTTTATGATTCAGTATTCTGACTAGATATTACTGAAAATAGTTAAATTTACAAGGAACGGTGTTAAAGTATCTGCAAGTAAGGAGGGTTAATTGGTAGTCTCAGTAATAATCAACCAAACATTTAGTTTCTATAATTCTATTTGTGAGATGAGATATACTTACTGGCGTAAGCATTTTCAGAGAAGTAAACGTCAATGCAGCGAACCAAGGATGGCAGTGATTTTATCTCATTGACAGATTGTGACAAATTATTCCAAATTCTCCAAACTTTAATTCTAAAGTGATTTATATAGGGAGAAGATTGAGAATAAGATTGCTTCACTGATGGCAAACTGTTAGGGCAGCTACAACTTGGAGTTTCTATATATTATATTGCTTCATTGAATGTATAACATAACTTATCAAGTATTTTGAATAAAGTGATTAAATTTAATTTAAGTGTACTCTTCTATAAATGGTTGAGCCCAAGTTTGTTAAATTCGAACTTGTAATTTAAGGTATCATCAGTCTCAAGAGTGCAAAATGGACTCCAGCTTTAATTTATCATTTATATAAATATTACTAAGAATAAACACTGTATTCAAAGAGTGGTCGAACATACACTTTGTGTATCGAAATACGGGACTCGTTATAGAGATGACGAAGTATACACTCCAAAAGACGTTGAAATATGGAGATCTGTCTCGAGACCTGTCGTGGGAAGGACAGGTTGTCGGAATACCCGAGTCTTAAGTTCATTATTGTATAAAACATGGATAACACGTTAAATCTAATTCAAGTAAAGTATTACCAAAGAAAATCTATCCACATTTAGCAATGCTAAGCCCCAACTTCCATTTTGAACCCTATCGGGCTCCATGCCGATACAGTTTTGTATGTCGTTCAGCTCGAGATGAGAAAACGAATACTTTAAGATCATCCTCATGTGGATGAGGCTTATCTACACTGTAATCTTCTTAATCTACATGGTTAACGTAATACGCCTGGTGTTTTAAAAATCTTTTTGACATTTGATACCAACTAGTTTTTTGATGTAAACCAAACATAAGCAACTAAATTTAAACATAAAGCAAATATGTATTGATTCGGATTTTTATACTTCAGATAAACGTAGTGCGAAAATCAATGAATGGAAAATAATCATCCTTGCATGAATACAAAATTAATAAACAATTTGAAAGAAAGGAAATGAATTAAAGAATACTGATTTCAAACCGTATCATTTTAATTTTTCAAATAAAAGTTACTAATATAAAGCAAACTGTCAAAGTATATAATGAACATCCTTTTAATAAGTTTGCTCTTTTTTTTAGAAAAAGCGTATAAAGTATCTGTATAGAATGTCCTACATTGGATGCAACTATATTACTGACCTTTTTATCTCATTTTGAATAAAATAAATATCATTCACATGAAGGTCTTTCTTTTTGTCTATAATTGTAGCAATGATGAGTCCTCGAATCCTCTGGTTCATCCTAAAAATGGTCATCATATATCAAACGGTGACAATCAGAGTTCTAAATGCAGTGAATCAAACTATGCTGTACATTCAAATAGTTGCTCAAATAAGGAAGATCCAGAGAAACATGAAACTGCGGATAACCACATCTCAAACTCGCGTCCACATCCTGGTGGACGTCAGCCTAAACCAAGACCTCAAGTTAATCACACAAGGCCAGGTATGTTTAAAAAATTAATATAAAAATGTTTTCATCAGGATAGTTATATGGGAGTACTTATCGACATTCTATTAAGTCTTGATTCATTTGGGTTATTCAATGAACCTATATAAACTATTTTCTAGTGTTGTCATCTTATGTTCATTGACTGTCTGGTTTCAATTACAACATTGGGTACAACCAGACTGCCCACTTTTAAAAGGGATAGGTAGTTATTTGGTGTGTTTAACGCCATGATCCAACCATCTTTGTTTATATAATCAAGTTCCATAGTATAGGCATGTGTAACAGTACATAATCATTGAATCAACTCTTACCAAAATATGAGGACTTACATCAGTAAGAGGTGTAGAATGACCCAGTCATATTATTACGTTGCCAACTGATTAATTATGACAAACTGTGTTTCAAACAATTAGCTATCCTAAGAGGACTCACACTGAAGCGATCTTTAGAGTTACTATCAACACTCAATTAGCCATAAGTCGTTTTATTTTACGACTATACACAAAAATTATTAAAATCAATCTAACTGATAACATTGTAATTAACATGTCTAGGAAATAATTGTTTATTTTTAAAAACAACTACACTTTTTGATACTGCTGAGAAAGGGAAAGGTGACATTTATGTTATCCTTTATTAAAAGTCAGACGAGATGCTAATGTCATAGAGGTTCTATTATATCGTAGCAAAAGTGGTTTAATAACGTCATTTAATTGCTGTGTATTAGTTGGTTTTGTAAAACGTCGGATGATTGTACGCATACAGTAACGAAAATCTACTGTCTATCTACGCTCTGTCAATGTATTAACTCAGGGCTCCAAATCTCGTATACCTTTAGACCACTTCAAACAATCCATAATTTTGTAAATTAGTATCTAATGCCTAAAATGATTGACAATTAGCTATCGAATCGTCATTTATTATTGTTTCCACACTGTATTTTTCTCTTTAGATTCTCATCAAATCCCTCGCACTCAACGAGGCGTTGGTGAAAGTATTCATAACAATGGAAATAACCATACAGGTGTCTCTAAGTCTTCAGCTAATTACGTTAACTCCAAAAACCCCAATCATCAAAGAAATCGTCAACCAGATCATCGTCCAGATTCCATGAGACCTAGAGGACAAAATATGTGTGCCCCAATTGTTAGCTGAATAGAATTGCCCAGTTAAAGTTCAACGAACATTTTCAGTAGGCGACTCAGTCTTAATAAATACTTGCCTTTATCTTCGCTTTGATGATCCAAACACCTCATTTAATTCGACTGTCATGTCTTCTATACACCCTCACATTGTGTAGATCAGATTGAATAACCAGAAACTTGCTTAACAATGGTTTTTAAAATAATCTCTTGTTTTAAGTGCATATTACTGAATTTTTGTTGCCTTTTTTTTCCTGGTGATATTCACTTATCGTTTCAACCAATCTTAATCTTTAATCATATTCTGTATATTGTTTCTGTTATAGCTTCTGGAGTCACTAACTAATAAAAACAAAATATCATACTTAGTAATTATGCAATTTTAGTGAATATCTTTGCTTTCAACCGCATCTGAACTATGTCATTACCTCAGCTTAATACCTCAAATTTATGTACAAATCATGATCTATTTGAAGGGTTATTCTACTACACTTGGTTTGTATTATAGTTTTTAATTAGTGCATTCGTTACCCATTTCATATTGGTTTGTTTGTCGTAAAAATTAGACTACAATAAGTGGGAATCAGTATGGTGCGAAGTGTCACTCTTCTATCGCTCTAGATTTATCATTAGATAATTTAGATGTAATTCTCTTTCCTGTATTATCTATGTTTTATGGGAATCAATTTCCAAGCAATTGGTTTGTTTGATGAAGTCACTGAAGCTGTTCAGTCTAGCTTGATATTCAGATTACTAATCATTCCAATTAACTGGTAGTTTACTAGTAGGGGATGGACATGGTAAGTGCAGTTTTCCAGACCCTTATTTCTACAATCGACTTACGCCGAACTGACTTCAGGAATATCGAATTCGAAGAAACGAAACATTATTTAGTTCATCACCCAAATTTTTCTCGGATTACAGACTTGTGTATGTATCTCACTTTGACTGTATTCATCCACCTTGAAAGTGGGACTTGATTGTTTTCATTTGATAGCTTTTTCCCACTGTATCACTGGAAGTAAATTATTAGTCTGCTCTGCTACAGACACTTTGACAGTGTAGTTATGCACCTATTTTTGTAAATTTTTTTAGAACGAATATCAGTTGTGTGGTTCATTGTTTATATACTTTAGGATCCCAACCGTAGTTGTTACCTTGACTTAGTGGTCTGGCTTGCCTATCGTGATAACTCAACCGAGCTGTATTAGATGAAACACATATTCCTTTAGATCGTACCAGACCAGGGGGATCGACTGAAGAACGGTAGGACTAGAAGTAGCTACTCAAAGGTTTAAGGATGAACCCGTCCTGCTGACTGTAAAGGGGTTTTACAAAAGTAAGGTATTTCCCCCAGACAACCAGCATTTGCACAATGCTGCTTCCTCACAAGGTGGTTAGAAAAGGTCGACCCTAAAGAATGTCACACTTTATCTCATGTATTTCCGTTCCGGGGATGAGGCCTTTTAACGCGCAGAGCTAACACTTCCAAAACCCCATCAAAAGGCTGTGCGTGACCGTCTCCGACTAGTTGTCTATAGGTCTCTGCGGTCACACTCCCGGGTCGTTTAGACCGATGCTGACCTGACTTCCCTTTCAAGAACCTCAAGAAGAAACATCTTGCCACATTTTGAGCAACCAGGAAGTGGCATCCGCGTTCCTAAACCTAAGAGAACTCGAGGTCAACTTTCTCACAGTCAAATCCCTCTTCCACTTCTTACTCGCTCTCTTATCTCCACGACTAACTCTTCTCAAATATCTTGGTTACTGCTTGACGCTATGATTCGAGTTCACAAAATACTTCTGAAACTACGCCCTAAACCACATGTTGGAGCTTCTAATCTTCGGACCTTGTACCGAATAGGACAACAGGCTTCTTTAGCTAAGACTACAGTATCTCACACCATTAATATATTCCGCATCTCCGAAACTCATACAGGATCCAGGTACAGTCATTTACATCAGGCTGTCCAACCTTTGGGAAGCTGGTCGATCTGATTCAGTAATAGGAGCGGGTGATTCCAATGCCCAGGTAGGTAGATCGTACTCAGCCGACAGTCACGTAGGTGAACCTGACAGTGTTGTGGCCCAGACAGCAGATAATCGGGGCTGTCTAGTGCAGCTATGTTCAGATAACCGAGTATTTCTAACAAATACCGACTTGAGAAATTAGGTGATACGTATCTTGCCGTGGTGACCTCCAAAATCCACCTAATGCTGGACACAACAAGACCACATTGTTGGCGTTTCGTTAGGAGACTGCCGCTCATTCTGGAACACAAATGGAAAAGGATGCGATGATAGGTAATGGTAGACAACTGTTCAGACTTATCGAGGAAACTGGTATTACGAATCTGATTTCTAGTGAGACCCGGAAAAATATGAGACTATTATTCATTATCAATCTAGGAGATTGAGCCGATAGGTAAACATTTTAAGGGAAACTTCAACTGGCCTTCAGCCACACACGATCTTCAGTCAATCCGAATAGCAAATTGATGTCAGTCCTCCTACTCTTAATGAGTTTGAAAAGGTTTTAGGCAATCTAAGGCGAGGGAGAGCAGCACAACTTGATAGATTAATCACTGAGATTTCTAAGGATGAAGGCCTAGTTTTATCAGTATTGTAACGCTTACTTGAATAATTCCCGGTTAGTTCCTCTGAACACAATACACTGGACAAGTTCCAAAGAATCAAAAACACGGTGGAACAGGAAAAGATTATATTCCAAATAGCAAGGTTAAATGGAAATAAGAAGCCAAAGGTGATGGCGAAGGCAAATTAGATACAACGTTAGTTGCTTTATAGCATTTACATGAGAAGCTTCTGGATAGAAATTCACGTGATTGACTGGATTAGATTTAGCCAATCAGCATGCAGCTAACAATACGAGAATTTTCTACCCCGTTCTCCAAGAATCGATCAGGCGCTGATTGGATAGGAAATTAGTCAATGCTTTAATTCCATCTATGTCCCACTAACAATCAGTTGGATTGTCTGAAATCTTGGGTAGAATCTGGAAACTGGATCTAATCGCATATGGCTGGTCTCAGTCACTGTTCCGGTCTATGAGAAGGGTCAAAAGCCATCAGCGGGGAAATTCATTTACAGTTGGTTTTCTATTATAACTAAACTGTTTTATAATATCTGTGTATGAATCAAAAAACGGACGTTGAGAGTTTGTAGACCTTGGGTGCGTGGTCATGGATGGATATTACTGAGTTGTTCCCTACTTAAGAAATGCGTCCATTTCAGCGCTCCCAGGTTTCAAAGATGATCTAACTACGATTGGTTAGTAATTTCAATGAGACAAGAAAATTATTTGGATATTTCTCGAAAGAATAGGGTTAATCAAGTTTCAGCTGAAACGCACATCGATGACCAAGTTAAAGTAAGTGTTTGTACAAACTTGTAAATCACGATGACGGACTTGCGGAATTGTAATGTAAACTGCTTAAAGATAATCATTTGATATATTACTCCATTGTTTAGTTGCGGAGCTTGATTCTTCTGAACAGCATCTTCGGCGCAAACTCCCCCATCTCGATATCTTACTTTTGCTAGATAGACTAGTCATGATGGGAAACTAATTGAAATGAAATTTCCTTGATCTATTGCTCGTTTATTTTTCCGTTACACCATTTTGTTATTATTATGTTGTCATAAAATTGATTGCTACTCGGAATTAATCTAGCGACTAGTAAATGATAATGATCAGAATGGAAATATGTTTAGGATTAGGCTATAAAACACATATTACAAGAAATCTAAAAACTGTCATTGTAATGATTCTATTTTAAGGTAGCTTATGATTTTGAGATTTCTATTCAGTCAGTCAACAACAAAATACAACTTCGTACGTAGTACATCAGTTCAGGTTGCCATACCACGGTAGCACTTCAAATCCTATAGCAGTAGAAGTATTGGCGGTAATCGGAAATTGTAGGGTTCGAAGATGTTATTCAAGAAGTAGAATCGAGTGAAATAAACTTAAAACGAAAAAGATAAAGTGATGAGGAATTCAGAAGGTTAGGATTTGACAGAACACGATCAATGAATGTACCTGCTCCGTCGCAGACGGTTTTGAGCCATGTCATTCAGGGTCTCTAATAATCGATTACTGTCATCTCACGGGCGCCAACCAGGTAGTCGACACCTACCAACATGGCTCAGTTCACTTGTCAATGACTTCATGGATTTCTGCCATGTTTTGGTTTGGCCACCCCTAGCTTTCTTCCAACCTACTCCTACACCACAAGACATAGCTCGTCGAGGCAGTCGATGGTCTGGCATTCGTAAAACATGTCCCAACCACCTCAACTGATGAAGTTTCACTACTTCATCTATTGATCTGCCATCCTTACCTAGCACCCGTTTCCTAACGACAGCATTGCTTAATCGGTTGTCCCAGGATATACGAGCAATACTTCGGAGAAACCTATGATCGAAGACACGCAACCTACGAATGTCTTCTACTCTTACTCTTACGCATCCATATAGTAGGATGAAGTGACCTGCTGCGCAGTAGATTCGTCCTTTGGTTAGCAAACAGATATCTCGTCTACTCCAATAGTGACTCCAGTTGGCGAAATTTAATTGAGCTTTCTTTGTCCGTACTGAGATTCCGTCAGTCACCAGGCCATCAGCACTGATGAGACTGCCGAGATGAGTGAAGCGGTCAACACGCTCAACTACTTCATTCCCTATCACTGGTTCAGGTGCCGATACAAGCCAATCCTGAAGCATCCTTTTGCATTTCGACGGGAAGAATCGCATCCCGAATATGCTTGCATTGTTGCTTAGGGTAGTCAGAAGACTCTGCACTTTGTCAGCGTCTTCACCAAGTAGGACTATGTCATCGGCATATTCCAAGTCAATAAGCGAGCCTCCTGGTAAAAGGTCTACCCCTGAAAATTCAGACGAGGACAAGGTTACATCTAGCAGCATGTCTATGATAAAATTAAACAAGAATGGAGAAAGTGGACATCCCTGACGCACACCACTTGAAGTAAAGAATCGCAGTGAAAGTTCGCTATAAGTTCTCACTCGACCAGTGGCGTTCGAGTAGAGAGCTTGTATAAGGTTAATGTACTTCTCTGGTACACCTTTCAATGACAGACACTGCCACAGAACTTCACGATCCACTGAGTCAAATGCTGCCTTAAGGTCCAGGAAGAAAACTGTTGTGGGACGCCTAAATGTGTGTCTGTGTTCCATGACCTGTCGTAGTGTGAATACCTGGTCTGAAGGCCATTTGAACTAATCCCTAAAGTGTACTGCCCATCGATCCAATCTCCTGGATTGAGAATGAATAATGAGACCATCTTTTTCCGAAGTGGTCTCACCTACTTTCGGGTTCCTAATATCAGTTTCCCTGATAAGTCTGAATTGTTGCCTACTGTTGCCTATCGCAACTACCTTTCCTATCTCCTTCGCTTTAGCTACCCACCACTGTTCACGATCATATGCCCCAAAACGAGCGACAGTCCTCTATCGAACCTGTCCATCGGTAGCTGATGGCAATGTGATCTAGTTGGGTCCAGCGTTGAGACGACTTTGGGGATCTCCAGGTTAAAAGATGCTTTTCCTTATGCCTAAAGTTAGTGTTTGTTAGAAAGAAGAGGTTATCTGAGAATAGCTGCAGAAGACGGTCACTATTGTCTGTTCTCT